GAACAGAATACGCATAAGGCTTAAGAAATGAAGTGATTTTTTTACTTCTGAGTTAACTAATTTTACATTGTTATGAATTTTTATCCTTCCCATTTATACAATGACACTGTAGGAAAATTGTTTTCTAGTCGGCCTTATAATTTCTAAGTTCAGAAGACTGAGTTATAAGATGGCCGATTGTAGGTGCAAAAAGAAACCAAATAGATCTATGGAGTCAAATGTACATATGGAGGATGGCACAATTTGATTTTAACTTTAGTAGGGTCTTAACAAGATATGCTTAGAAGAACAAGAAAAACCTAAAACTGTAAAGTGTGCGAGGTTTAGACTATCCAAATGGAGCAAGCCAGATGTTTGTATTAAATCAAAAGTTAAATTGTTGTTGGGCTAGAGATACTTAGTTAGCTTTGTTTTTTGTAATCTAGAAGAAATATAAGATGTTGAACCAATGATTTATTGGAAAATCAAAAAGATAGCTTCCTTCAATTTTGTTAAATTTTGAAATATTTCTAGCGTCTACCAAGGTTTTAGCGAATATTCTTTTGTTAAATTCTAACTCAAATTTTGCAACTAGCAACTCAACGTCTGGAAAGTCGAGAAAATAAACATCTTGACAATCGCTGAGTTTCAGTCAAGATAAAACTGGATCGGGGAGGGAAACTCCAAGGAAACAGTGGAGCGCTCGTCAAAAATAGGTAGTCAGAAAAGATCTATTGAAAACGGAGGCTTTGTCACAGTTCTTGTTTAAACAATTACTTCACACGGATGCCTTAGAGACTGGTCATTGAATAAACTTCGCTACAGTATAGACGAGCGAGAAAAAATTGTTTACCACTTGAATTATCCATTGTAAAAGTGGTTACAAAACGCGTCCTTCAAATCGTTTGCCTCAAGAACTAATTACCTCGCATTGACATAAAATTAGGCAAAAAAAGAAAACCCTGACATTGTAGGCGAAAAGGGTGAAGGTTGGATTTGGTGAAAAGTTTGGTAGGAAAAAATAAGGGACGCATCAAAGAGGAATGATGCTGAAAGCTTCCTTGCACAAATATTGCGAACAGACAGGATTTGTGCGATAGCAGTAAATAAAAAAATAATTGGTTCGACTTTTTCAAGCGTAAATCTAATCGAGTAGGACTCTATGATGAATTAGCTTTAAGCAAAAACGGAGATTGCGAAATTGAGAGCAAATTGGGGCAGCACGGAAAAAAAAAACTTCGTTTCGCAAATTTTGCTGTTAGGCTATGAGCAGATCGCATTTTGAAAAATTTTAAAGACATGAAAATTGCCCAGTTGAGTTATGTTGTGCATATAGGCTGCACTTACCACAGACCACATTTTTATGAGGATAAAAAACCAGAAACAAAACTATTTTTTCCTGATAAAATAGGAAAATGAATGGCAAATTAAAGGTTTCTGCTTAACCTCTCATCATTGGATACTGTAGCACAGGTGCTGTCATATACGGTAGCATTGGCGACATTGAAATAGATGACGTTGGATATGAGTTCAGGACCACGTAGAGGTGATGATGGTGACGATGACGGCTGCATTCAGAACTCCGCTCAACTCATAGCGAGCAGCGCATAGAGCGCACAGCGAAAAAACGAATTGTTCGAATTGATTCCGGTGATTAGCAAGGGGCGACAACTCGTCCGAAAAAGTAGCGGATCATGCAGATGATGGCCGAGTTAAGCTCAGGGGCTAACTTCTTAAAGAAACCCCGTCCAGTTGAGATCAATAGAGTAGCGTTTGTGTATGTGTGCAGTTGTGTAGGCGGAGCTTTAGCGCTTGTGTGTGTGTGTTGGGGGTGAGCCTGATGGCTGGGCGCCGCTCGCCCTATCCGGGCATAGGACCTCGCGGATAGCCGTAACGAAATTTGTAACACATGGGGCGAACTCCCGCTGCTTATCCCTCGCAACTCTTTCAAGTGTTCATCGAATTCGCGCGAAAGCACCGATATGGCCTATAGTCAATTGACACTTAGCGCTAGAGCGGCAGAAAATTGCACATTCGGAAATATCGGACTTGTTTATCCATAACACATGGGAAGGAGAACGAAGCGCTAGTAATAAACACTATGGGTATTGTGCTTATGGAATTTCAAATAAAGAAGAACAAGTTACAAATTTTTGATCTCAAAACAACAAAGGATTGAAAAGTTTCACATGTAAAAATTCAAAATTGGATTCCAAATAAAGACAAAGAAAAGGACAAAACTTTTTTGATTGAATATCCAAGTCAAACTGCATAGAAAAAAGCTCAAATCCAAGATAGAGGGAAATTTCTTCGAGAATGCGCAATAAAGACTTTGCTAAAAGTGCTAATTATAGTCCTCTTTGAAAGAGAAAAAACAAGTCTACCTATTACCCATACCCATAGTAAAAAAAACGATACCTTTTTGTTACCCAAGCCCATTTATTGAAGTTCTCATTCAAAGTGAGATGGGGCCACACATCGGAAAGGTATCCTTTCTGTATTAAAACACTTTTTGATCTTCTCTCTTTTAACTTTAGGAAAAGCAGGAAAGAATGACCTATATAGCGACATAGACTTTTCTGAAAAATTGGGTCCAGATAACGCAAAAGTACCTAAAAAGCAAAAGAAAGAGAGTAACTCATGCTAAGTTACCAAAGATCATAGCTCCATGTACCGATAGCAGTAAAAGTGAATTAGACTTTTGAAAAAGAATAATTTGTATTAATTGTGCTGGCAATATGGGCAATTGTTCAAATTGATAAAATCGAAGTAAGAGTGCCCCATAGAACGGATCACTATTTATCGTAATGACTTTTCATTCTAGAATTTTTAAGGCCGTATGGATGCACCAAGAAAAGTTTTAAAAACCCATTTTTAAAATCCTTCAAGCTATGTTAATGTTAAGGTGAAGTTATATGTGGCTAGGTGGCGTAAAGTCTATCAGAACTCGTTCTAAAACGACAGAATGTCTAGAGGGGTTATTTGATATTGCTGAGCCTAATTTATGATAACCTTGATACCGTAAGCTGCGCCTAACTGACGGTAGGTGCTCAATGGTAGCACCATAGCCAACTGCAACTGTACATAGTATACCACAGTTGCTTAAGGTACAAAATCATTCACCCATAAACGGAAATAGAAAAAGTTATCGAATAGCGACCATGTCTCAAACACATGTTCTTAGAGAAAAAAATGGTAAAAATCACCATAGAAAAGAAGAGTGAGCCATGGAATTTAGACCAAAACAGACCGAAACAAAGTAAAAATAGGGTTCCAGTAAAAAAACTTTCAAATTCCTAATACCAAGAACATCAGCTAAAATTTGGAAGATAACAAGATGCGTAGATCTCTGCGCGACAAGATCTTACACCACAATCTTAAACGCTGAATCTTTCAGATCGAAGTTTTGGAATTTTGATTATCTCTAAGCATATAAATCAAAAAATATGCCGAAGATCCTTCCAAAAACTCAATTTCATGGTTTTAGAGAGATGTGTTCCAAGGGGGTTGTAGATTAATGAGCAAGTTAATCTGGAGATTGTTTCATTTGCATGTTACTTGCATTTATATTGATGGCTTGATAAAGTCTGATTTTATTTTTTGCTTAGGCAAGCAGATGTAAAGCTTACTAGTTTACAATAGATAATTTTTTGTAACGCTACTAAAAACTGCAAAAATCAAGCCAGTTCTGTTCCAAAATCGTGTTTTTGGAGCTTTTCAAATTCTTAGCTGAACAAAACTTTCTTATGAATTGATTCTTTGTGCACAAAATGGTGTTCAAGGCGCTTTGATTTGTATGTTTTAATTAGGGAAGTAAGAGGACTGATACAAAAGTTTGTGTCAGGCAGCTCAAGTTAAACCAGC